GAAAGCTCAGAAGCCAAGGAAGATCTGACACTTTAACAGACTGAACCACAGTGTGATTAAACCACAGCACTGAGGGTCACTGTCCCTTTTCACTGCCCAGAAATCACTCTGCAATTGTTTCTTAAAATTACTTAGAATCTACAATCTTACTCTATTACATTCCAGAACTCACCATCAAACATTCTTCTTTTCGAAAATGTGGACATTGCCATGTTGTGAGTTCCTCAGATAACCTATAAGGGAGGGGCACAATTTTACTTACAAAATACTTCGGATTTCTAGAACACCACTGCTCCAGGCCCTGAACTCATTTACAATGCTAAGAAGCATGTTACTATTTTATCTAATTATTAATGAACTTATAACTAGTACAATTTTAACTCTTCATATCCTCATGTTTTATTCCAAGCTCTATTTTTCATGCCTTATATGTTGCATCCGCCGTCACGAGAAACAGAGGTTCGGAGACTTTCAGAATTTTTCAAGATGTTACTTTACTGGCCAAGTTTTACCTGCGCAGGGGCGAGCTCTCTGAGTGTCCGAGGACACTATGCTCAGGAGAGCTGCGGATGAGAGCCGCACCCGGCGCTTACAGCTATGTCCTTATATAGGGGTATGCAAGCAAGCTTTGAACAGAAGCAGATGCAGCTGTTAGCTATTGGCTAGCTCTAAACAGCTGATTGCCATTGGCTTATTAGGGAAATTGGCGGTTAGCCCTTTTAGGAAGTAAAAATTTCCCTGCTCCTGGCCAGCCTAACTTTAGTTCCTGGTCAGCCTAACTTTATCCGGGGCTCGTTTGGGATTGTCCCTTTTCAACATCTGTTTTGGACCTCAACATTATACAGCTAAACTAATGTAATTTTATTATTGCATGATATCTTATTTATCTTGACAACTCATGAATATCAACCTAAAGGTATCATAAATAGTACAACTTAGTAAATTGTGTGGTAAATAACATGCAGAAATAAATATCTTTTATATATACAAAGAATAATTTAAAGCCATAATCAAAGAACCAAGGGTGAACCTCCGAGTCCGATGTCTGGTCCAGATGGTGTATTCATAAAAAGTGGCTCCAGGGAACTGGTCACTGACATTGGGACCTGAGACTTGTACCTCGAAACAGTCTTTTAAAACAAATCAACAGTTCATTGATTTATTTTTTGATTTATCTGTTAATATTCCACTATAATCAACCACTTTTCCTGCTGTCCTGTACTAAGATGTTATTCCCAAATGTCCCATGAGATAGCAGCAGAGGTGCACTTTTGAGACGTATCGGTTGCTCGACCAGATCGTTCGATTTTTATGTATAAAATAATAGCGTTTTATTTTTTAACCTCTTGGGTAAAAATTCATTTTAAATAGATGTTACTTTATTGTTTAAGGAAGCTGCAACAAACAAAGCACATTACAAATGTGCTTTTCACACCTGGATCTTCTAAAAACCAGACTCTATTACACTATAAAGCTAGTTCCAACAAATGGCACATAAAACACATTTATTACTTCCTTTCCCTAATGTGAAAACCAGTCACAAGGTAACTGGGCACTCCTTACATTTAGACATTTTAAAATACTGACACTTCTACCAGCCCCACTTACAGCAAGGTTCAACCAGCATCGCGGCCTCAAAATTCTCTATACAGTATGTTTTTGCCCTCATAGCACTTAAGCTAGCATTCACTGAGAATGGATGACTAGAAAGTTCTGTGATGTGGGACTTCTGAAATAAACTCCTACAGAACCTCTGAAATAAACTGCCATTGGAATTACAAAGTAACTGGACCTGAGTGCTGGTAAAGATGCTCCGTAATGAAACTTGAGAAAGAAATCTTCACCTTTAAATGCACAGCTTAGAAACAGAAGCTGAAAACGCACGTGTTCTGCCCCCGTACCAGGAACCTAAAATAGTAGACGAAGTCCAGGGAAAGGGAAGAAATGAACCCTCAGACATGTTCCAAAGGGCGGTACAGACAATGATGGCGCTGGTATTTTACTTTGCTGTTTTTGTATTTCTTGTAGCAGCATTATATATAAATTTTACCTTCACATTGTTTTAGGAAGCTACAACAGAAAAAGCGAATTACAAATGACTTTCGAGCACAATTGGCACTTGTGAAAACCTGCCTCTATTATGCTACAAAGCCACTTCCAAGAAACGTCCCATAAAACACGCTTATTCCTCCCTTGGCCATTACTCTGGAGACTAGTCACAAGGTAACTGTATAGTCCTGACATTTAGATGTTTTCCAAACCACTGGAATCAACCATTTTTCCTGACCTAAACTAACATGTCCTTCCCCAAAACGGCCACGAGGTGGCAGCAAAGACAGACACTTGGAACATACACTGTACTATGGGCTTGGCCACAAGGTTCCTTCAGGTTTTCCAGTAAGATGCAATGACAGGCTCATTTTTTTCGTTTTTCTCGACAATGTGACTGGACAGCAATTTCGTCGTTTACTTCCTTTGTCCTCTGCTATCATTTGGCCCACTTCACCATTCCATCTGCCCACAACATTGTTATCTTTTGGAGCACAGAACTCTTCCAGGTGCCTTTTGCAGTCTTCCACGGACTGAAAATTTTTCTCCACTAAAAGAATTTAGAAAAGGCAGCGGAAATACCTGGCATTCCAAGGATACAACATCTTATGTGTACTGTAGATGAATCAGGACTGCCCAGCCAGACTGGAACCGTTTTCCCCTGGTCACCAAAGAGAAACGTACTCTCTTGCCTTTTCCTGAAGGATGATTGCTTACACATCTGCTGACAAATTCAGGACTGTGTCCTGGGCCAGTGACTTCCATTGGTCCAATGGGGAGCAGTACTTTGGAAGTAACCGCCTGGTCTCTGGCAAGGAGTTCCTAGTACAAGACTCCCTAGTGATCCCACCATATCCACAGCATCACCTTCTTTGGGTGCAGACCACAGGTGGGAGTGGCTGCTGGTGGTTCCCTTCATGTGCCCACCATCTCTCCCGTTCCATGTTAATGTCAAATATCAATGATTCGTCCCCCCTGTCCACAATGCCTTGGAAACACAACATTTTTCTTACATATCAGCAGACAATCTGATGTGGAAATGTGGTCAGGCAGGGATCCCGCCTCCTCCCCTCTTTACTTCTGTGAACCCAAACATCAAAGCGATGAATGTAACCACACTGGTGGAAATGATTTTCGGTGCTTGCTTAGGATTTTTTTAGTGTGTCACCTGTCTCGTTGGCATAATGTGGTCTCTCCTTGATGAACACCTGGACTGGATGACTATCTACTGTGACTGGTCCATCCAACACGTGGGGAACCCTCACACCAGAAATCTCCGACAAGAAACTTCTCAAACCACTTCTGACATGTTCAAGCCATCACACCACCTTCTCCTACACAGCGGAAATCTGGTATTCCATTCAACTGGCATTTAACCCTCTTAATATGCCACAGTGTAATGTACTGAAAATATTACTTCTATTCATCCATCTTCAATATGAAAATGGCCACACACTCAACAGTTCTTTTTTTTTTAATATTAATCAACAGTTCTAATAAGCTCTTTTTTTAAATACATGCTGATAGTACATCTGTCATGATACAGTTTACCCAAAGGGTTTCAAATGAAGTTACAGACAAGTACGTGAACCAGAGCCACATGATGAGAGAGGGAACATGGGGGTGGTGAGGGACTGAACTGACTTTTTAGCCAACCCAGGATAAAGCAGGCTTCAACAAGCATTGCAGCGTGGAAATCATACACAATGTGTTTTTTGCTCTCATAGCACTGAAGCTAGAATTCACTGAAAGTGGGTCTACAGGAAATTCTGTTGTTTGGTATTCATAAAACAGACATCTAAATAATCTCCAAAATGAACCACCCTTTGATATACAAAATAACTTTAACTGAAATATGCTTAACACACTACGTGTCAAAACTTGAGAAAGAAATTTTCACCCAGAAATACGCATGTTAGAAACAGAAACTGGAAATGTACCAGTTTTATACCCATATGAGGACACTAAAAGAGTCAAAAACATCAAGAAAAAAAGAGAAAAAGAGCCCCAAGACAAATCCTTAAGGCCACATACACAAAATGATGACACTTCTATTTTATTTATACATTTTATTTTATATTTACACCATGCTAGAGAATACTGCAATAACGTTACTTTTCTCATTCTTTAAGGAAGCTGCAACAGACAAAGCAAATTACAACAGATTTTCAAGCACGCCTGTAACTTGTCAAGCCTGCTGCTGGTACACCACAAAGCCAATTCTGGGAAACATCACATGAAACGGTTCATAACTCCCTTTGCTCTTAACCTGCAAACCAGTCACAAGGCAATTGGACAGTTGATATTTAGACATTTTTAATGATTTTGTAAAACTGCATCAAAAACATTGATATTCATGGAATCAACCACTTTTCCTCCTGATCTAAATGAGGTGTAATGAAAGAAAGATGCAGAGACCAACAGTTGGAAACACGTTGTTACTATTGGCTTCACAAAAAGATTCCTTAGCTTTTTCCTTGGTTCATTTTAGGTACAATGAACCTAAAATACTAAACTCAATCTAGGCAAACAAAACTGAGGAAATGAGCCTATAAACATGTTGTAGGGGCACATACATAAAATGAGAGTGCTTATGTTTTACTTTCCTTTAACTCTTGGTGGAGAATTTCAAATAAATTTTACCTCTGCGTTGTTTAAGAAAGCTTCAACAAAGCAAATGACAATTTTCAAGCACACCTGGAAATTGTAGAAACCTGACTCTATCACACTACACAACCAGATCCAAGAAATGTCACATAAAACACACTAATTGCTCTCCTGGCCATTAATCTGAATACCAGTGACAAGGTAAATGGACAGCCCCGACATTTAGATGTTTTCAAATGCACTGGTAAAAACCCCTGCCATCAAAAGTCATTGATATTCTACTGGAATCAACCACTTTTACTACTGACCTGTACTGAGGAATCATTTCCCAAAATGGCCACAAGATGGCAGCAGAGACCGACATTTGGAATACCTCGAACTACTGGCTTGGTGGAAAGGTTAGTTCACTTTTTACCATCAGGTGCCATGACTGGCACGCTTTTCCTTCTCCCCCAACAACATGACTAAACGACGACTGGACAACATGGTCACCACTTTGTTCCACTGCCCTTTGCCACTTTTCAGGCAACTTCACCATTCCATCAATCCCAGGACATTGTTCTCTTTCAGAGCAGAGAACTCTTCCAAGTGCCTTTTGCAGTCTTCCAGGGAATGGAAATTTCTCTCCATTAAGACAAATTTAGAAAGACTGAACTAAATGGCCTTGCACCTTCTGCGTCTCCTGCTGACAAATTCTGAACGCTTTCCCACTGGCGGCTTTCAGTGGCTCTGATGGGAGGAACCCGCTGGGTTTCTGCAAGGAGTTCCCACTGCAGGACACCCTCGGGAATCCACCACATACACATCACCTCCTTTGGATGAAGACCAGCCTTTGGAGGAGCAGCTGGTGGTGGTTCCTTTCTTTCCCTCAACTCTCCGGTTCCACATTATTCTACCATATCAACAGTTCATCCCCCCCTCAATATTTGTCTTGGAAGCAGAATGTTTTCCTTAGGTTTCAGTGGAGAACCACTTGTGGCAATGCAATCAAAAGGGGTCCCCCAGCACTACACTTAACTGCTGTGGAATTCCATGTCAAAGCGATTAATGTCATCGTGCTGATGCAAATAATTCTTCATACTCGATTTTGACCCTCTGAGTATGTCGCCTGTCTCCTGCATGCCATAACGTGGTCTGTCCTCAGTGAACATCTCCCCTCCATGGCTCTCCACTGCACCTGGTATACCAACTCGTGCAACTGAGCTTAAGAAATCTCCACCATGAAACTTTTCAATCCATTTCTGACATGTTCCATCACTCACAGCAACGTCTCCATACACACCACAAACCTTTTGTTGCCTTGCAGTTGCGCTTGTACCTTTCTTGAAGTGACAAAGCCAAAGGGGCTGAAAATGTTGCTTATGTTCATGCATCTTCAGTGGGGAAAGGGACACACACACATTCACCACTTGTGATGAGGATTTTTATCTTCCAAGAACTTTAAGACACAGGGAGTAAGGCAAGAGGGTCAACAAGCTCTTACTAGGAGTATTACTGTTTAGAGCTGTGCTGAAACTCTCTTCCTAAACCCAGTTTTGGCAACTAAATCTCTCAGCAATAAATGACATAACAATCCTCAGTAATTTCCCAGTCTTCCCTTTCCTAACAGCCAGTTTAAAATAAACATACCAAATGCAAAATGTTGACCCTCTTCATTACCAGCTCTGCAACTTTACATAGAAGTTTTGTATCAACAAACTAAATTAGTACATTGCTCCACATTTTATTCAGGTAATCATTCAGTTTTGAGAATAGTTACTTCAGTTAAGTTATTAAATCTTAAGTAAATGGTTACAAATATGTATTGTCCAAATCCACCTCCTATGAAATATGTGACTGTTTGCTTATGTGATGGAGAAACAATCCTTCCTCCAACCTCAAGAATCTGTGGGCTGGTCTGATAATCCAACAGGTATGACACAGATTAGCAAATGAAACCATCAAATTTGAGACGTGCATAGGCATGGGAACCTCACTCACATGACAGAGTCAGGAACCCCACATGCAGAAGAACATCAGGGATAGAGTGGAAACGTGCACACACAAAATGTACTGAGGCTGCGATGGGTGTGCGGTGCCATGGGGCTTCAAAGTGACCTTGCAAAATGATAGCAGATGCTATGAAAAAGGTGCTATTCTCAAGATGTCCAGAAGGTGGCGACAAAAAGAGCATCTCCTGCTGGACTCACCTCAGATGCTATTCCAAAGAATCGCACTAGATGGCGATGTGCAGCACAGTGTGAAAAAGGGTCCCACCCCCAGAGAGCAGGGGTCCTGCCAAGTTAGCCCTGGGTCCTCTGACTGCTGGGAAAAGTATTTTCACCTAAGAGAGGATGGAGCGACATAACATGAGCTCTGGATCCTCACCAAAGAGCATAAAAGGTCATGTCAGGTCACCTCTGCGTCTTATAAGCAAGGGGAGGGGACCCACCTGAGACCTGGGGTCCAAGAGTCCTGTGACCTCAGGTCTGGGCCACTTGAGTGTAAAGAGGACCACACAAGAGACAGGAGTGTCCTGTTACTGCACACCTGTGTCCTGTGAGGGTTGAGAAAGGTCTGTGAAATGTAAGTGTCCTGACCCTTCACCTTTGAGCCTGGTGACTGTGGGGAGCGGTCTGACTTGAGACAGCAGGGGTTCCTGTCACTTTAGCTCTGCGTCCTGGGAGCCTGAACACAGCCCCTCTAGGAGAGTACAGGGCTCTGCCATCCCCGCCCTGTGATTGAGAGGTGCACAAAGGTTCTGGGTCCATGACTGCAGGGAGCATCCCTGCCTGTGAGTGTGTTGGGTTCAGTCCCATCACCTGTGTCCTGTGGGTGCGGCAACAGGGGCTTCTCGGAGAAAGCTGTGGGCCCTGTCACTTCGGCCCTGGGTCCAGGTATTGCAGGTAGAAGCCTCTCCAGGGGGAAGAAGCTGTGGTTTCGAGTCAGCACTGGGTGTTGTGAGCAGGAGGAGAGGCCCCACCTGAGAGGACACCTGGTCTTCTGACATCAGCCAGGGTCCCAGAGAATGTGTGGAGGTTCAACATGGGATAGTCTCGGGTGCTGTCTCATCACCTCGGGGTCTTGTGAATGTGGGGTGGGCTGCTCACTGAGAAAGTAGGGGGCCCTGCCATCTGAACTCTGGGTCCTGGGAGTGTGGGAAGGGGTCTCTCCCTCCCAGGAGTGGGGTCCTGTCACAGTGAAGAGGGACCCGACCTGGGAAAGACAGGCGTCCTGCCTGACAGCCGAGCCCTGTGGACGCAGGAAGGGCTCCCACCTGACAGAGTAGGGAGCCTGTCCCACTGGCTCTGTCCCCTGTGCGTCTGAAAAACTGTCCCACCAGGGAGAAGAGTGCTTTCCCTTCCACTCAGCTGTGGGGCCCCTGATTGTAGGGAAGGGTCCCTCCCGGAAAGTGCAGGAGATCCTGTCACATCGGCTCTGGGTACTGCAATGCTGGGGTCGGGTCACACTGGAGACAGGAGAGGGCAGAAGAAGGCAGCCAACGCTGTGGTCCCGATTATTCAGCAATGCAAGTCACAGACCAACACCAACCCTGAGGACTCCTGGACACAGTAACTCCTGGCAAGAAAGGTCCCAACTTCAGCAACGAGGTTGGGCGGGAGCGACTATCCTCTGACGCCTTCTGCCTGTTTCCTCCAGTCCATATGCCACCCGCCTAGTTTTGTTGCAACAGCAAAGTTCTCTTTCATCTTTAGGGAGAACTGCTCACAGTGGCCACAGCCAAGAAGACCCTCTCCGTCAACCACTTCACTTAAGGGACCAGAACTGTCCCCAAACTCTATGTCGGTCTTCCCCCCCCCCCCCACCCCCGCCGAGCACACAGTGAGAACCAGACCCCCACTGGTACTGCGTCTGTTCTGACAGGGACGTTTGTCTCACCAGGGGCATTTCTAACATATAAACGCTGACTCTCCCTACTGGCACCTAAACAAGGCAAATGTCTGGGGAGAAACACGTGCGTGTAACAATTCTGTACACAGGTCCCTGGCTCAGGGGTCCGGAGCCTCCGCGTCCGCACGTGGGGTCCAACGACCCTCTCCCTGTTCGCGCACCGGGGGAAAAAAAGGAGAAAACCATCACCCCCTCACCACGCTCCCCGGACTCCGATTCTCCCGGGTTTTCGTCTTTCACAACCAGGAAAGAGAGGGGGGAGCTAAGCGGCCTTGGAGAGCGCATCCACCTGAACTCTTAGCCGGCTCCGGCTCCGGACCCCCGCACCCGCGCTGCGCCCCGCCCGCCCGTGAAAGGCCGCACGCTGGGTGCGCAGTGTTGTGCGCTGTGAGGCCGCTCCCCTGCGCTCTCCCTTCCCGCCCACGGGGGAGAGGACCCCCAAAACCTGTACGAGCGCGCAGCCCACTGTCCCGTTTCCGGCCCCATCGCCCTTCTCCCAAACCCTCCTGCGGTCTCTCACGGTCTCCGGCACCTCCGCCCACGCGCAGGTCCCCGTCCCCAAACCTCCGTTCTCTCAGTTGCACCCGAATTCTGCGGGGGCCCTTCCCTGTCTCGCCCCCAATGCAACCGGTTCGAACCTCACCTAACTGGCTCCGATCCAGGTCCCTTAGTACCCACCGCTTCCCAGCAGGGTCCAGTCCTCCTCTGACATTCCCCACCCTTCCCTTCTCACCCCGGCTTTGCCCTGAGAACCGCCACCCGGACCCCGACCCACCGGGATCGCAGCCCCGCCAGCACCTCCGGGATCCTAACACCCCTCCCCGACCCCCTGGTCCCTCACGGAGCACGATTCTGGTCACTCCGCCTCTGAAAGTTCTCAAAGTTCCGGGACTCGCATCACCTGGGCCCCCCTTTGCTCTCCTTCCCGAGACCTTCGCCCCCGCAGATTCCCGCCGACGCCCTTTGCCCGCGTGGGATCCTCTGCGCCCAGCACATCTCCGTCCTGCGGCCGCTGGGAGGGAAGAGAGGGGACCGGCAGGCCGAGGGGGGACAGGCTGGGTCTGAGAAGGGCTCCGGGATGGAGGACCAGCGGGAACATCAGGTCCGCAGGGAGGCCGAGCGCAGCGCCGGACAGGTGCGGCCCCACCCGCACACGGAGGACACGGACCAGAGGGAGGTCTCGGCCCGGGAAGCGAGCGAGTTCACTCGGTAAGTGCCTGTGAAGACGCATTTGCTGGTGTCAGGCCCGGGGACCGGCATCTCGTGCGTAATACAGGACACACACCGGTGATGTTACAGAAAACAACTCAGCCGCTTACGGGTGTATGAAGTGGAAGTTTTATTTTCACGCATGGGGACCCAGAGGAGTCATTCTCCAAATTCTGGGCCTTGAACAATGGGGAAGCAGTTATTTTTTTTTAATATTTTTTTAATTTATTTATTGCCGCGGACCAGCCTCGCCAGGAGAGGGGAGGGGGTGGAAATGAGTCAAGGACGCAGGGAGTCAGGTTGGAGAGGTCTCAGCATCCCGCTGAGCCCCGAACTCCGTTTATTCAAGGCTTTTATTACAATTATGGGGAATAAGCAGGAGGGGGCTGCACCCAAGCCAGTTTCTTTGTCCTTTCTGCAAAGCTACTCCACGGAACAACAGGGGAACACAGGGTGCTATCAAAACTTCCCTGTTTATCAAGCACCGGTGCATGACCTACCCTTCTACAGGGAAACAGGCTGTCTAGCTTTCTTGGGAAACCTATTGTCTAGCCACAGCAGGTTCCAGGCAGGGAGCCAAGCAAGGTGGAGAGGAACTGTGCCACGGGCAGCGGCCTTGCCAGCTGGCCCTGGCCCCCCGGCTTTGCCAAGGGGGGCTTACCGCACGTCTCCACGAGCAGTGGCTATGCCGGGTATTCCTGACCCCCTGGCTTTGCCATGGGGGGCTAGTGGCGCCCACAATTTATTTTTAGAGAGAGGGGAAGGGAAGGAGAAAGAAAGGGAGAGAAATATCTGTGGTTGCCTCTCATGTGGCCCCCCACTGGGGACCTGGCCTGCAACCCAGGCATGTGCCCTGACTGGGAACCAAACCGGCGACCCTTTGCTTCACAGGCCCCTGCTCAACCCACTGGGCTATACTATACCAGCCAGGGCGGAAAGCAGTTATTTTTATAGAGCAAGGGAGGGCCCGTCCTTCGGACCAAAAGCAGGAGACAATTTACAGAAGCAGAAAGCAGAGAGTTTCATTATCTCTGGTATGTAGGCGATAACTTAGAAGAAACGAGGCGAATCACTGGGCTATAAAAACCTGGGCTGTAAAAACAACCCCCTAATTGCTGTGCTGTATTTCTAAAATAGCGAGTCACTCCCTACGCACTCTGCTGTATTTCAAAATAGCTATCAATTTTCCCCAACAGCGAGAGGGACACACGTGCCTTCGTGGAGCTCACTGTCCCGGCCTGTGGCCGAGCCGCGGTGGAAGCGTCCAGGCTGAACCGGCACCTGCCCAAGTGCAGCGGGCGGAAGGGACCGCAAACCTGGGGAGACTGAGTCACGGTGGTGAAGCTCCGCAGGCGTGCAGGGATGACAGCTTTCTTGTCATTGCTCACACGTCACTCCTTAATAACTGTTCTGTCAGGTCACTAAAAGTAAATACTCCCGCTTTCTACATTCCAAAGTTCACCATCTACAATCTCCCTTAACGAAAATGCGCACATTTGCCATATCGTGAGTTTCTCAGATAACCTAGAGGGGGCGCCATTTCACTTACAAAACACTTCTTTCTTAAAGACCAGGGGTCCAAACCCTGAACTCACCTAAGAATCAGTATCCTGCTCCTGTTTTATTTCATCAATAATGAAAACCAACAAATTTTTTTCTAACTCCTCACATTACCTTATTTCTTCATATTTTCTTTCAAGTGTTGTCTATTTTTACATGTTTTTACATAACTAAAGTAATACAATTGTATTCTGCTACGATAGCTTATTTACCTTGATGAATCATGAAAAGCAAGGTAATGATTACAAATAATAGAATTTATTACAGTGCGGGGGAATAACACAGAAATAAATACCTTTTTATATATACAGAGAAACACTAAGTTGAAGATAGAATGGAAAAGAACCAATAACAACAAACCAGATACAAGGCCTAACACTAACCTCAGCAAGAATGTGATGATCTGTGTGAACAAAATGTTAAAACGATGCCCAATGCAAGACACTTGAACAACTGGAAAGTAACATCGCGTTCTTTGATTTAAGAAAACCAAAAACATAAGGACGTCAATTTCCCAAAGTTGCTTATAAATTTATTGTGATACAGTTTAAAATACCAACATTTTAAAACTAAAACCAACTCATGTTCAGTAAACTTGTTAAAATGAGGAATGAAAAGAAATTTCTGGAAGAGGAAATTCATAAATACAACTTAGCCCAACCAAACATAAATAGGTATTGTGTTATAAATGTACTTTAATCTAAACAGTGGGGTAATGACCTTTGAATAGACAAATTAATGGGACAGAATACAAAGTCCAATAATAAATGCAAAGTCTGGGCCCTGGCTGGTGTAGCTCAGTGGATTGAGCGTGGGCCTGCGAACCACACGATCGCGGTTCAATTCCCAGTCAGGGCACATGTCTGGGTTGCAGGCCAGTTCCCAGCAAGGGACACATGAAAAGGCAACCATACACTGATGTTTCTCTCCCTCTCTCCTTCCCTTCCCCTCTAAAGATAAACAAAAATTTTTTAAATAAATAAATAAATGCAAAGTCTGATGGAAATTTTCTATGACAAAGATCTCTCTTTAGATCCATGGGGAAATATTAATAATATAGTAAAAGGTATTGGAACAACAGAATAGGAAATATATTGGCCCTCCTACATTACATCCTCTGCCAAAATCAATTCTTTGATTGGTTTTAATAGCCACTCCTAACTGATATGAAACACTGAGAGCTATCTGAAATATGCCAAAAGGTGTAAAGTAAAAGAATGGGAAAATGTAGGGAACTATTTCGAGTGGCGTGGAAATGTATCTCAGCACTCACGTGGAAAACCAGTGGGGAGCAAGTGCTGTACAGGACCACGCCCACAGAGAGGTTTTTCTGTGCGTAATCAGGCCTGCATTGTACCTAGACTGCTTTGAGACTTTCGTTTGCTAAAACTCCCTCACCCTGAATTGAGGCATCAAGGGCTTACTGCATCTTCCTAGAATCTGAGCCAAACCTCCCAAATATAAAGTGTGATCAGTTCAACCACTTTTCCCCTTGGTCTGAAACATCCTTCTCTTTGAAGTAATTAGCAGGATTCTTTCCCTTTATTATCTGTAAAAGGTAGTCCCCTGCACTGAGCCTGTGCACAGTAAATGAGGACTACCCTCCATGTAATGTACCCAGAGAAGCAATAAAAGCTTCTCCAGACACAGGCCTCTGGCCCCCTGGCCCTCTCTCTCTCTCAGAGAGTGGCCATGCCATCCCTTTTCCTCCACAGAACTTCTGTTGTCCGTGTGTATTTGTTCACTAGCAACCACAACACACAGAGATGCTGCCGGCCAGGCTCCACATCAGGAATATATGCTATATGAACATTAACCAAATGAAAATCATATAATGACCTAGTAGACTTGAAGACAAAAAAACACTACTATACATAAACTAGAGTACTTCATATCAGAAAGTTCAATTTACCAGTTAGTTCCAAATTTTTATTCATTTAATAACACTAACTCAAAATTATATAGAACAGAAATGCATGGAAAAATACACAAAATAATAATAATAGGTGATTTAACAAATTTTCATCGTGCAGGTTCTGTTTCATAACCAATAAAGCCCACAAAAATAGTAAAAATACTTTTAAATAACATGAGAAGCAAATGGCATTCAATGTGCGTAAATATTCACTACACCCCAGAACTGCAAATTACAGATGGTCTCCAAGCACCCTCGAAACTTTTTTAAACACTGACCATATAGTGATATAATGCAAGTTCCAACAAATTGCAAAGGACTAAAATTTGTGTGTGTGTGTGTGTGCATTTCTTGCTCTCACTGCCATTAATCAAGAAATCAGTAACAATAGATAACTAGAAAATACTTATATTTATAAATTATTAAATACACTTCTAAATAACCACCCCAAAATAAATCACAATTGGAATTAGAAATAATTTGTGTAGAATAATAGTAAAAATACTACATATCAAGGCCACATCGCTCAGGTTCCAAAGATGATCAAAGCTTCAAGATCGGTGGCTTTCACCCTGGCTGGTGTACCTCAGTGGATCGAGCACAGGCTGGGAACCAAAGGGTTGCCATTTGATTTCCAGTGAGGGCACATGCCAGGTTCCCAGTGGGGTCCACGTGAGAGGCAGCCACACATTCATGTTTATTTCCCTCTCTTTCTCCCTCCCTTCCCTACTCTCTAAAAATAAATGAATAAAATTTTCAATAACAGGTCAGTGGTTTTCAACCTAAGGTTGACTGCGCCCAGAGGAACATTTGGCGCATTGTATGTAGGCCTTTCAGGTTGTCATTAGGGGGGTTAAGTTGGAAGTTACTAGCCTGCACTGAAGAGAGATAACAATTACTAATAAGACTTCCGCCAAGATGGAGGCATAGGTGGATGTGCCGTGCCTTCTCCCACAACCAAGATTAGAGAAAACTAAATATTAGCAACAGAAAACACAGCCAGAACACGGAAAATTGAACTTTTCGGAAGTCCGTTAACAACAAATTCTTCAGCCTGACCGGTAAGGGGCGAAACCAGCGGCTGGCGGAGCAGGGTTGCACAGGAGGACTCGGCCAGACACACTCAGGCCCGCGGAATCCAGACGCAGGGTCAGACCTAGTGAGCGACCCAGCGAGCAACCAGGCGAGCGACCTCGGGGGAGACAGCCGGGCCAGGGCTGCGTGTTGACTGAGGTCGCGCATTTGTGCGAGGGTGGACAGGCGAGGAAGTGGGCGGTTGGACCAGGCCGGCAGGTCCCCACGGCAAGCGGCAGTGGAGGGCGCCGCCATTTCCCTGCTCTGACCCCACCTCCACATACAGCGTCATAACCCAGCGACTCTGAGTGGCCCGGCCCAGGTGAACCACCTAAGGCACTGCTCCTCCGCACCCAGCTGTGAGAAGCGGCACAGGGGGTCGCCATTTCCCCGCTCTGGCCACGCCCCCACATACAGCGTCAGAACCCAGCGACCTGGGAATCCAAGGCGC